ATGAATCCAAGATCAGCAGTTAAGATGGCTGAAGGCTCAAGTCCCAAGAACCGGAGTTCACATCATGATTAGCTGAATGCAGGATCCAGAGCAGACTAAAAGCCAATGGGCTTTCCCAGAAAGTCCATATATATGGGATGCAGCCCATACCCCCATGGAAACTCCCTTTCAACTGACTGGCTGCTTACAACAGATCTCTTCACGGAGAAGATTACATTATATCAGATCTCATTATGGAGGTGATCACATCATTACATAACTGCCAAACTACATCATAACTGCCAAACCACTGAGAATTATGGCCCAGCCAAGCTGACACACAACCTTGACCATCACAGACATGAAGAGACATTTCTCCAAAGAAGATACACAAATGGCCAATAAGGACGTGAGAAGATGCTCAACATCATAAATCATTAGGGAAATGCAAATAAAAACCACAATGAGATACCATTTCACCTCCACTAGGATGGATAATATCAGAAAAACAGAAAATAAGTATTGGAGAGGATGTGGAGCAACTGGAACCCTCGACCACTGATGATGGGAATGTAAAATATTGCAGCCATTGTGATAAACTGTTTGGTGGTTCTTCAAAAACTTAAACACAGAATTACCATATGAATTACCAATTCTACTTCTTTTTACTCAAAAGACCTGAAAGCAAGAACTCAGATACTGTACACCAATGCTCATCGCAGTATCATTCACAAAAACCAAAGTGTCCATCAAAGAATGAATGGATAAACAAAACTTCGTACAACCATACAACGAAATATTATTTAGCCATAAAGAGAAACGTAGTTCTGATACATGCTACAACATGGATGAACCCTGAAAACATTATGCTGAGCAAAATAAGCCAGGCACGAAAGGACAACTATTGTATGATTCCACTTATATCAAATACTCAGAACAGTCAGAGAGACAAAAGTTTATTAATGGTTACCAGAGGCTGGGGGGAAGGGAAAATGCGGAGTTATACTACTTAAAGGGTACGGAGTTTCTGTTTAAGGGTGTGAAAAATATTTGAAAATGGATATGGTGACAGTTGTACAACAGGGTGAATGTAATTAATGCCATTGAATTGTACACTTAAAAATGGTTTAAATGGCAAATAAAAAATCTGATTTTGAAACCATTTCTCTCATCTCTTCTAAGAAAAAGTTCTTTAAAAAAGCAACGATGAAAGGGAAGTTAAAGATATAGAAGGCAATGATAGCAGGGATTAAGTCGTTTCAGTAACTCAGAATTTGCTATATCCTCTGTTCTAAAGAAATTTAGCCACATAAGAGCAGTTATCCTTTAACCTTTTCCCCCAACATAAAGATATCCTGAATGTCAGGCACCATTAAAAATACAATAGAGACCTATATTTACTGAAGCAGGGAAATATCCTTAAGTTTGGGATGCAAGCTACAAAATTTACATATAAACAAACAGTATAATGCATCTATCTGTACTAAACTCCTGCCTGGAGTCAACTCTAACGCAGGATTGAAAAATACTTCAGGATTAGCATCTACTCAAAAGTCATATATATACACTGTACATAGATAGATACCCTTGGAGACCAGACACCTGCGCTGCCCTCCCTTCTCCAGGCTAAACTCCGGCTACCCAGACTCACAGGCCTGACTGAGGGGCAGTGGTCAAGCGCCCCGTAAGAACCAGCGATCTGGAGATCAGCACCCGTCGGGGTGGTGTGGGGAACCCTGCGACGCGCTCCAAGAGGGACGAAAACTGGAGCGTGTCCTCGGGAACGGCGGGGCCGCCGCGCTGGTCTCCCGGGCAGCGGCGAGCCTGGCGTCGGCCAGACAGCGGGGCGGCGGAGGGAGCGGCGGCGGCG